GGTGGGAAGAGCGGTAATTTCGGACGCAATGGTGGTGGGCGGGAGCTTCATCGACGTCAATTGCTGGATCTGGTTGGTGAAGCTTGCCTTGGACAGGGTGTAGATGGAGTTGGTGCGGTGGAGATGGCGGCGAGCAAAGTAGGATGCCACATCAACGGCATTGTTGTTGTCGAGGACTGAAACCTCGTCGTCTATGTGCACTTGCTCTGGAGGGGTATCCTTGGGTGGTGGCGTGGGTGGGCGTTCCACATCGGCGACGGGAGTGGTGTCAGACTCGGCGAGGGTCTGACTGAGGCTCTTCGTCTTGGTGATGTCCGGCAAGCGGTACTTCTGCATGTCGAGAACATCGTCGGCCTCGGACTCGGAGGGCAGGACACGGTCGCTGGTGCTGACGACGCTGCTGATGTCGCTCTCCAGGTCGCGCTCCATGACCAGCGCAGGGACGCTCTCGCCGGTCAGCTGTGGTATCAGCGGTGTACCGAACTGGCTGCCGGTGCCGGTGCTCCAGGCGGTGCCGCGGCGCTCGACGCTGAAGGTGCGCTTGGTGGAGTGGAAGTCGTCGAGCTGCTTGATCTTCTCTTCGGCGATGCGGCCAATCGAGGTCAAGGCAGGCGCGTTCTTACTGGCGGAGTCGTTGTTGGCCTGGTTCAGGAATTTCATGCGCGCCAGCAGGCCAGGAGAGACGTTACGAGCAAGCTTGGTGGTACTCTCCAGGATGCTGCTGCTGTTCGAGGCAGTGCGCTTGAGTTGGGTGCGCGGGGATGACGATGCGGTGCTCGCCGGCGCGGGAATGGTAGGCGGTGTCGCTGCCACCTCACTCTTCGCGGGGCTGTCGACCGGTTGCAGCGCACGCTGGTCGCTCATGGGGTCATTCTTTGCTGCTGCTGGACCCTGGAAGCTGCTCTGCGTCATGGAAGTGAAAGGGAAGGGAGGCAGCCGCGACTGTGCGGAGAGTGCAGGGTTGCAATCACCTGTGCTGAGTCGGGCAGTCGCGTTCGCCTAGTCGATGGTTCGCCTCTGTCAACAAACAACACAGCGTGCATGAGCTAGCCTCGCAGGTGGTACAACGACGTGATGTAATGGGCAGAGTTTGACGTGTAGATGCAGTTGTCAGCCCCCTCCATTGTCGAACAGAGCTACGTTGGTCTTTGGACGACACTGCTGTTTCATTCAAAACGGTTTGTCCGCACGCCTGATACACGGCCCCGGCGAACCGCAATCTTCACTAGCTTGACCCCTGTTTCCAGAAGCACAGGCTCACTCATCTCAATCTCACCAACTGCGTCCGTGGGTCCCGTATCAACCGACAAACTCATTTCCCATCCTCGATACTCGGCAGACTCCGCAGGGCCATAGGACACGTTCACTCGGTGCTGGATTTATGAAAAGTTGCATGACCTCTTGGCTATGTAAATGCTACGCTACTGCAAGTAATGCTAGTGCTGCTCAAAATGGGGTATCTGAATCCAGTAGGGGAGGGAAAATATGACAGTACATCACCGGTACAATCGTCGCTTTTCAAGCCATCTCAGTCCCTGACCAGACAATGTCTTGAAGCGCGGACCGGTGACTACAGGCTCAGTGGCTTTGTACGAATGAGGTACTTATATGGGGATAACATGGACACAGAAGGAAATATGAAAGGCGTCCGTGGGGTTATCCAAGCGCCAGTACCAATCAAGGCATCCATGTCGTTATATCGGGTTGGCCTCGATGCTTGGGTTGCGTATGTGCAGTGTCGGTGCGCGGGTCTGGTTCTTTTGCTTCAACCACTCTGAAGTGATCTCCTCGCGCACACCTTGACACCATTGCAAGACGGCAGCGTCAAACTTTTGCCACACTGTGAGATCCTGGCCTTGAACGATGCCGAGCACGTCGACATCCAATTTAATGTCCCAGCGTAACTCTGCAGCTTTGACCCAGTATCGTAGGTTGTCGGCACACCGGTATGGCTTCGCCGTATCAGTATGATACTGTTTGATCTCTTCGAAGTGGCGACGTGACTTCCTGACGAGGCTGTTGTGAAGATGGACAAGTCGGAGACCATTCTGTAGCGACAACAGAAATGGCGTTTGGGGCTCGAGTTCGGTAGGCTCCGTCCACTCGGGCAGAGGCTCGGTATGGTTGTCAAACGATTTCAAGAATAGCAATTCTCGCTCGCGCTCTCGGCCAGACCAGTCGCCCTCGCGCCAGGCCCAGCTCTCCCGCTCTGCGTGCTCTTGCCTCTCCTTCTCTTCCTCCGTATCGAGCAAGTCGCTGATTCCATCTATCCACTGTCGAATTTGTGAAACCTCGTACGGTTGCACACCATTGGCGAAGTTGCGTATCGCCAAACGCTTTAGTACTTCAAGGACCTCATAAAGCTCTTTGCGAATCTCACGCTCGGCCTTGATAGCATACAATCGTTGCGGTTCTTCGTGAGCGGTGTAGTAATTCTTCGCAGCCCGGATTGCAAGCGTCGTAACATCAAGCAAGTTTAGGCCCTGTATCTCGTGCCATCCGGCTGCGTCGGCCGAGCGTGGACCTGAGCCGCCGGTGTTTGCAGGATCATCTCTAGCGAATTCCTTGTCCAGCTCTTTCAAATGTTTGTTGGCTTCGTCGAGCGCTTCTCGCATCTCACGTCGTAGAACAGTCATGTCCGGAGGTGGCGGTACATAAACCGGATTCTGCTTGTATGTGCTGACGGTCGGTGGCAACATCATCGGCTCGCTGCTATCCCAGTCCATGGTGGCGTTCTCGTCGTGAGGTGATTCTACCAGACTCTCTCCGAAATCATAAGCTGCTAGAGAGGGCGAGACTGGCGACATTATTGATACATCGCCATCATCGGTCCCACCGGGGCTCCTCGTGCCCGACTTTCTCGTTCTTGCGACCCGTCCTGTAGCAGCATCAAGTAGGCCAGTTCGAGCAAAGTAATACTGCAAATGTGCAATTGTTCCGAGATTCATAACGCTTTCTCGGTTCTTGGCCGAATTCGAAAATTGTGTCCCCTCAGGCCTCATGTAGCCGCGCCTCCCGCCCGGTATGCCACTTTCGGAGAGCCTTGAGCCAACCGAGCGGGAAGAAACGCTCGAAGCTGTCGATACCGAACGATCCAGTTGCGGTACAGCATTTAGTGCAAGACCCGGTGTGGTCCATGGTTCTGGCGAAGAGCCTCGCTCTGGTGGTGGGGTGGGCATCGAATCCATGATGGGACGACAGCGGGGTCGGTGCGTGTCGACAGAGGTTGCTGGTGGTAGACACAAGGTCAAATGCAAAGGTGGTGTTGTGCAAGCATGCGCTGCGGAGCTGCAAAAGAGCAGTTCGGCCGGTGCTTGCAGAGGTTCATGGGTGAATCGCGGGAGTTGCCAGGTGTGTCGATAGGGGTGTTTGATTACCTAGCGACGCGGGCCCTGTCGCGTTGTTTTGCGACACTAGCGTGATGGCATTGGCTCACGCATCGCTGCACGCGACCATCGGCAATAGTGAACGATGTACGGCGAAATCAGGCTTCTAGAGTCGGCACGCGCCATGTCATGTAATGAATGGTCCATCGCCGTTGACAATACACAAGCCAGTCGTGGGCTCCCTGAGCTGGAAAGAGCCCCGCAGTCCTGGCACCCGGCAGACCCCTGTAACCGGTACCCAATAACCGTTGGGGGAACCTTTCACCATGACGTTGCGCAACTGCCTCAGAAGGCTGATCTCACAAAAGGCGTAAGAGCAATTCGGCTTTGACTACAAGCTTGAGCTCCAGCACTCTCTCTAGTACTTATCGAGTAGTCGACACACCGAATGAAACGGCTCTTCACAGTGACAACGAGAATGTCTGACAAGCGAGTACGTCATTGTAGTTCGCGGCCATTAACAGAGCTGATATTGTAGATTTCCTTCAGGGTTGATGGCGAAGTACAGGGTAAGTCCAAGCTCCCAGCAGATCACGGACGCAGCTAACAGAACGAACAGGTGTCAACTTTCGGTAGGACCCATCACGAGCCAACACACAGGTACGCGATGGCTAATTGAGCACCTAGGTCCTCTACTCAAAGGCAAGCTAAAACCATCGGTATCACTGGCTTTGTGAGCAACGCTTCGGACGGCACAGTCAGTCCTTGGTCGATCTTACAATAGGCTCGTTGCTGATATTCTTAAGGTCCAAGGCGAGGCACAGGGTACAGATGATCAGATCATGAAATTTGTGCAGTATCTCAACAAAGGCCCGTCCGCAGCATCCGTTTCAGGCGTGGAGCATAACGACATCTCCGTAAAGAGTGGAGAAAGCGGCTTCAATGTCAAGTGAAGAGGATTCACCAATATGAGAAATTGAGATAGCTGAAGTACGCGGATCGAGGGGCCCACATGCTGAGTAATATCCATCTTGCTCTCACACAAGACAGGAATCATTTGTAAACCACTAAGTCATCATACATAGAATGTATGGGCTGTGTCCTTCAAAATCACGACCCAGCAGATTGAGCTCACCCATTTACTCCTTGGCTATATAAGGGTTCCAGCCACCCACCAAATCCATGTCACTCTTGATCAACGCTTTTTTCTTCATCACTACCCCTGAAGTCTGCGTTCCCGTGGGCTCGCTGCACAATCTGCTGTCGCTGATTCTAGCGCTGGTGTTTGTGATAGCCAGCGCGCAGCTGCTTGTGTAGGGCGTTCCGCAAACCTCGCTCCAACAAAGCGTCAGCTCGAGTACAATTTGAGGCAGCGATTGTAATTGATTCGTGCAAAGCAGACAGATTAGCGCTACATGTTCACAGCTGCAAAAAGAGTGCTGTCGGAAGTGCAAAGCGACATTTGTTGGATGAGAAAATCCAAAGTTATTTTGCTACTCCATGCTAAAATCATCTCACCGCTCCCGCTAAGAGCATAGCTCGATGGCCGGACGATTTGTAACATGTGGAAATAATGGAATAACCGCAAAGCGCATGACAGACGGTTGGAGGGATTAACAGGATGAATTTCCATACATACATTATATACTTTGTTATGATGATCTTCTTCATCAAGCATTCTTGGTGAAAGGGTATCATAATTGCCTTCCAAGCAATTGGCCCGGGTTCGAGTCCCGGAGAATGCATAGCGTTCTGTCCTCATTGCGATAAGAGATTTCTTTTTTTGCCAGCTTGATCACCTCGGCGTTGTAACGATGACCCCTCTTTGCAGCACTACCCAAGACGATAACACAACAGCATGTTTGCGCAGAACATGTCACTTGTGATTTTCTATCTGAAGCATACCAGTCTACAATCGTTGTATCCGGGAAACCTTTCGTTTTTCCCCTGGAAGCCATTTAACAGTGGTATCTGGTGATCCAATCTCATTTTGCCCCAAGTATCACAACCACAAAGCCATAGGCTAGCTTGTTTGACTTGCGTCCACAAGTCGCACTTACGCAGTGATGCTGCTTGTGTCACTGGCCATAGTCCCCCACGCTCAACACAACAGCCGGTGCGCATGATCCTTGAGGAATGTGTGCAGGACGAGGTGCACACCACAAAGATAATCTCAAACGTTACGAGTAGCACATAGGACATGATGCGATCGGATTGCGAACTGCTAGCTCTGTACGATCATTCAAAGCTCTTTGTTTCTAACCGAGCGGGAGTGTCCGAGCTGGCAGCCTTGGATTCGAGCGAGCTGCTCACCGGCTGCGTTGTGATTGGTAGGCCCTACATCGCAATGGTAACTTGTTCAAGCATAGACTCTCGGCTCTGTGCGTTGTCACTCATTTGCGTTCATGGCCCCACTTCCGCCCGGAGAGCTGCATGTCAGAGTCGGTGAGATTTTGGAGCGAACGACAAAATCCTGACCGAATTGGGCGTTCTCTTCGTTCGTTACTTGCTATGATTGGTCAGTTGACCCAGAGGAGGGGAGGTGGTCACCGACACCCTCATTCGTGCAAGGACGCACACTAAGGACGGAGCTCGCGAACTTGCAGGATACAAGCAGAGGACAGGCAGGATGGATGTTGTATATATTGAGCATAGAGAATGTGCTTCTCAGCCGCACAGTAACTTCTACAGTCCTCATCCTCAAGCCACGATTCCATTTCCAAAACTTGTGGTATTGTCTTTTGTCCCTTACCAGCAGACGCATCGCGCCTTTATACAGCTTCTGAGCAGCGACCATGTCTGCACAGGACTCAACAGACTTCAAACCAACGCTTCCAGTGCGCGCATCGACATTCGATTCACAAAAGTCGGTAGAGTCGACGGATCCGATGTCTTACACTTCCGCACCAAGCTCGCCAACTTCGCGAGCTTTCTTTGGTGCCATTACCGAGCGGCTTCGTGAGCGTTCGCGGAGCAGATCTCGAACAGGCTCATCCCGGAAGCGTGAGAGGTCGCCGGTACTACTGCCACCGCAACAGTTGCCAGCAACGCAGCCACAGCAGACTCGCTCTGGCTCGCAGCCAACGACAGCCCAAGCTCCCGTTAAAGCGCAACAACCCAGCCTTCAAGAGCACCAAAGAACTCAGACCGGTAGTAGCGATCCGTGGCGCGGGCGGCATTCGAACGATTGGCTTTTCAATGGCTTTTCTTTCAGGGACACCGCCAGAGGAGCTTTTGAGCGTCGAAGAACATGATACGCGATCAAGACGAGTAGTCTGGCACTTACTCAAAATCGATTGGGATCGCTGAGCGTTCCTCCTATACCACGCTGTATCATCACGCTCGTCAGTTACCATTAGGCATTAGGACAGGCGTTATGTTATATATGATACCGAACACTTGTAAATTAAGACTTAATCTCATGGACTTTGCCAGACTACAAGGTGCGGCATTGCGTGAAGGGTGGTATAAAGCTGTGATCACGATGCGGGCTTCTCTTTCCAAAGACCGAAGCAGCTTTAGAGCTTCGTCGTAGACGTTAATACCTGTACAACCTTGAGTTTAGTTATGATAGAAGCGACGTTTGAGAGTCACATTTCGTAGACGGGGTTCTGTCTGTTCTTACATAATCCGCTACAGACACAGCCGCGACCGTTAGCCCCAGTTCCGCGCGCTCACCGCTTGGAGAGTACCTTCATGGCCTCTCATATGCTGTGCCCATATGCTCACAGTCACTCTGGAGTGCTTGGAAACGTCAACGAATGATATTCCTGGTGGGAAGTGTTTAGTTCGAAGGGGTTCAGGCCGGCATGATCAGCTTGAATCGTTGCGCGCGGCGTTATCGCCTTACTCCGAGAAGGCGACTGACCCCTCAGACTGAACGCCGGAAGACAGCAAAGCCCACAGATAGGGAGGCATATTCCGATCGGCACTCACACAGCCATATTGAAATCCCTTGAACGGTATAAAACTCTCGATCGACCCCATACAAGCTTTCCTGTGGTTATCTTGTAGCTCTACCTTTTCACCCCACGACTGCCCGCAAGCTATCGCCGATACCGCATCATGAGGCACGAACGCTCCACGCTTCCCACTCCAACATCGAGTAGCTCCTTCTGGCACAGCGAGCCCAACGAATTCTTGATCGGACACCGTACTACAGAGGAGCTCCCTACTGAGGCTGATATTGTTATCGTCGGGAGTGGCATAACTGGTACATCTGCCGCTAGATACCTGGCTGAGGACGAAAGAGCCAAGGGAAAGAGCGTTGTGCTTCTTGAAGCTAGAGAAGCATGCTGGGGGGCGACAGGCAGGGTGAGTAGGAACATTCACCCGGCAGGAATTGCTTGAGAGCTTCGCGTATTATGCGATACACAGATTCAATTAGCAGACGACTCACTAATTGTCTCCCATCAGAATGGCGGCCATTGCCAACCACTCCTGTTTGATCGCAGCGCCGAGGTAGCTGCTTTCGAAATGAAGAACGTCCACGCAGTTCGATCGTACATAAAGAAGAATAACGTCCCGTGTGAATGGCGCGATGTGTCCGGTTGCCGTTCATTCTGGACAGAGCAGGTTATGAATGAGGCCGAGAAGGAGCTTGCGCACTTAGAGACAATATCTCCAGAGCTGAGAAGCCTGGTGACAGTTATTCGTGACAAGGACGAGCTGAAGAAACACCGTGTCTCTCCTGAGGCCGTTGGAGCTACACTAAGTCGAGGCGCAGCGAGCCTGTGGCCGTACAAGCTGATCACCTTCATGCTGGAGCGCCTCATTAAAGCTGGCCAGCTTAACTTGCAAACCAATACTCCGGTTGACAAGATCACATCTGTTGACGGGAAACACATATTGCATACCGAGCGCGGTAGCATCAGCGCGAAGAACGTCATCCTTGCCACCAATGGCTATACATCGGCACTTCTTCCTCATTTTGCTGATCTTGTAGTTCCCGTGCGTGGTGAGATGTCAGCTCTCTTGCCCCCAAAGGGAAGTACCATTCTTCCAGACTCGCATGGAATGGTAGCTGCTTTGGGTCAACCGGCCAACAATGATGACTATCTTGTTCAGCGCCCGTTCGAGGGCGTACCTAATCCCCGTGGGCATCTCATGTTTGGCGGCGGGCGCGGAGCAGGTCATCTCCCAACCATCGGCGTGTCGGACGATAGTATCATCGATGAGGATTCAGCAGCGTACCTCCGTGGGGCACTCCTCAAGATTCTTGAGCTTGACGGCGAGACGGAGGGCTTGAAGGAACTAGAGGCTGTTGGTCAATGGACCGGCATCATGGGTTACAGTACGTTTGCTGCGATACTTGTCCAGATTTCGCTAATGAGTTTCTAGGTCGTGATAATCACCCATGGGTTGGCCAGGTGCCAGATCAGAAAGGTCTGTGGCTATCGGGGGGTTATACAGGTCATGGCATGCCAAACACGACTCTCTGCGCCTCCGCAGTTGTGGAGATGTTGCTCGGAGAAGAGGCAGGCCAGGACCTCACCGCCCTTCAAACACAGATGGTGCAAAGTGGCGACATTCCAAGTAGCTATCTCTTGACAAAAGAGAGGATTGAGAAAGCTAGGACACTTCTTACCGTCTATCAACAAGACACTCAGGGCATACACATGAACGGCGTAGTCTAGTAAGCTATCAGAAGAGATCTCCTTGGAGAGCTTAGGTTCGCAGGGAATTATTTCAATGTACCGTGTAGCGCCGCAACGCTCAAGAGACCCTATTAGAGATTTCACAATTGTACCTCGGCAACGTACATGCCTTGCTCTATCCGTGTAAAGAGTCACACCGCCAACGCAAACTTGTTTCTCGCTTGCCCTTGCTCAGAACTATTTTGTGAATCCGCCAAGAGTCGTATTCGTGGGAAGTAGAGTCATACACTGTCACGTGAATGTTGTGACGTGGACACTCGCGATACCATCACTATACTGCATGCCCTTTACTCGCACCTGGTGAGTACCCATACTCACAAAGACTCTCGCCCTCCATGCCTGGTTCTACTTTACCCAAAAACTTTGGCGTCGTCCTATTTCCAGGGTTCCAACTTCTCGACGTCTGTGGCCCTCTGGATGCCCTCAATGTGCTCTCCAATTCACACACCCTCAACCTCTCCATTATAGCTGCGACTCGAGAGCCTGTGGGAACGCAACATTTTATGCAAGATAAGCAGGGCTCAAAGTTCGATCAACGTATTGTCCCTACGCATACTTTTGACGATGCGCCCAAAGATCTGGAGGTCTTGATCATCCCCGGCGGTCTGGGTAACAGGCATGATGAGAACATGAAGTCTGTGGTGGATTACCTGATTTCGCTTGGACTAAGTTCTTCACCTCAGCAGCAGTTAAGAGGAGGCATCAGATGGATTCTAACAGTGTGCACCGGGAGCGAGATCCTAGCCAGGACCGGGGTGTTGGATGGGAAGAGAGCAACAACTAACAAGCGGGGATTCAATGAGGTAGGTAGTAGTAATTTTTCAAAGCCATGGGGATTCGCTTCTAACAGATTACTATAGGTCAAGGAGAAGCATCCGAGGGTGAATTGGGTCACCAAATCAAGATGGGTGGTGGATGGAGATTTTTGGACAAGCTCAGGAATCTCTGCGGGTATCGATCTGACTTACGCGTGGATGAGCCATGTGTTCGGAGAGGAGACCGCGCAGTACGTCGCGGATCGGAGTGAATACGAACGTAACACTGATCCGGCGAATGATCGATACGCAGAGCGATGGGGAGCGGTCTGA